CTACCACTCTAGTCGTATAAACCGCAATTGACGAATAGCAAAACAGACAGTTGTGAATCACTGATGTAAACATACCTTACTGTACTTACTTTCTGTAACATTCGTTTGTTTTACTTTTTTGCCCATACTAAAGGAAACTATTTTAGGTGCTTGATGAGCTTGGTATTCAAATGAACGAAGAGTTGGACGCCTTACCTACAGCTCAGGGTAACCTAGGCCCTGCAGAGACGAAAAAACAACCTCAAGCAGCATTGTCTGATGCAGACGCTGATTTACAGCAAAGGTTAGAAAACCTTCGGAGGGAGTAAGTACTCTCAGCGTGTTTGACAGCATTTTTGCCTTTTAAAAGTTGTATTTTTTAATTTTTTAAAAGGTGTACATAAAATTTCAAAATGTAGATGCTCCACAAAAAATTTGAAAGAATAAATTTAAAAGCTTTTATTTGCTGCCTCTGAGTCATTAATAGAATGACACTTGTACTTTAGCAGAGAAGGTAGTGAGAATCATATAGTTTCATTTTTTGCGTAATGGCATTTAATGTCATGTTTGTTTAAAAGTATCATGAAGTTTACAACAGTAGTAGTCTGTATTGTAAGTCTAAAATAACTTCAACGAGCACCACAGCTTTGTTGTCCTAAACTGAGTTATTATTACCATACCAGGATTACATGCTTATAATTAGAAGTGGTATTGGTTGTCAGCAATCGGAAGTTATGCTTGACTGCGGTTGGGATTTAAACGGGCTTGGAAAAGCGATTGCACGAAACTGAATGGACTTTGGTTCTTTAATAACCTAGTTTTTCGGCCGAGCCAAAACATAGGAAAATCAGAAATTTGAAAGTTGGGGCGGTCTAGAACTTTTGGGTCACTGTACCTTCAAATTCTGGCTCAGAATCATCGTTTTTTGGCAAATTTGCAAATGTGCTCCAATGTATCGGTTGGCTTCTTGATGTTGGAGGGCAAATTTTAGCTGTACTGACCAAACAGTTGTGAATAGTTAGCTGTTGCTACATTGAATTACATTTAGTTTCAATTGCAATGTTTAATTTATTGAAAATGGGTGGTTTAGGTGGATAAAACAGTAAATTTATAGTGCTTTATGACTTTCTTAAAATTCTCTCATTTTTGAATATTCGCGGAGCACTGTTCATTCCGGAATCGGCCTATGCTTATTAGAAAGTCTAAAATGAGCCACATAAACATGTTAGGGCAAACGTGTAACTTTTTGATACCTTTTTTTTCTTGATACCTGCATACCTCTTTTCGCTTTTTTAAGGAGCTTATTGTAAAGAGTTTACAGTATTGCACTGCATAATGGAAATAATACCGCAGGCACCCTACCAATAGTAAATTTAAACCCAGGAGAGTGTGAATCTAGTAGCATTCGTGTGACTGATAATAACCACTTAATGAGGCCTAATATTTAACATAAACTTCATTGCCTAACTTGCCCTAAACACAATTTTAATGGGAAGAGCTACCAGATACTTGTCCGTTACTCTATGCAATCTGATTGTAATGGCAATTAAGGCGTTAAGCCGTCAGAGGGAAAACCAAAGCAATATTTGTTTTAAATTTATAAACTATGAACTTGTAATCTGCCAAATGCGCACAAACTATAAATCAGACAGATAACAACAGAAAGAACGAAGTTCTTGGTACAAGGAGAAATTGAGTACTGTCTTAAGCTCAAACTAAACTGAAATGAGGCGGATGAAGAAAAGATTGAAAGTCTTCCGTTCCCATCTCCTATATATACCCAAATATTCAGACAGAAGTTATCAAGTGTCTGCTCTTCAGAGGCTTCATCTAGAAACAGATCAGTCATCAACTTTAGTGTACTATAATATTGTTGTTTTTACGTGCTTTCGAGACATCAAGTCTTCCCGTGGAAAAATCTGGGCGTCAATTTGGAACTTCGTAAACTTTCAATTAAGGAAGTTTTTTAATGGAGGGTTTATTAATTTTAAAGAAATTTAGAGGGTTTGAGAAACGTTATGGAGCGGAAAGTAGGTTAGAGAAAAGCTTTAAATTTTCAGGTGGTTTCAACCAAAATGTCAGAGATAATACCTCTAAATGTTCTATTAAATCCAAGCTATAGAAGTATTTAATGGAAAAGAGTAAAAAGGTCTAGAATTTCTAGAAAGAAATAGAAAGGAGTTGAAAAGACCAAAAAAAGTGAAGGTAAACGATGCAGAATGCTACGGCAAATTAACGTAAGCAGACATTCAAAGAAAGATGCCGTCGGACTGAGGTTTGCCAGAGACTTATGAGAAAAAGTAATGACTGGTTTTCTTTTTTGTACAAAAAAATTATGCTGCTCCGCAAGTGAGTGAAGTCTAAAAAAATGTTTTATTTTGGGAGATCAAAAAGCATAGACCCGAAGATGAAAGTCGACAATACTATGGCGATAACTGCAGTTAAACGGTCCATAATTATAATTGATTTTATATCAGTAGGTTCACCACACCTTTCAGTTGAATAATATGACTATTTGGGATGCAATTCCTCAACTGTTTCTAAGATTTCAGTTTTATTTATGGGATGACCACCTAATTAACCTCCTAAATGCGAGTCTGAGAGATTTGAAAACGGAAGTCATTAGCAGCGAACCTTGCAAGACTGTCGCAAGTTTACTACGTAAGGCTTCACTTCACAGTCAAGTGCCATTACGTGATGTAGATCTTTTTTCTTGAAGTGTAAAAAAGGGACATATATATTTTGGCAGTCATGTTAAACGCGAACAGAGCATCAATGGAAGCCTAATATAAGAGAAAAAAATAATAAATAAAAAAACTTGTTTACATAAAAGTACTTCGTAAAAAAGGGCAATAAAAAGGTTTTAAGAATTAAAACAAAAAAAAAAAAGATGTGGAAAGAAGGAAGATTTTAAAAATTAAATTTGAAATACTAACATTCATCTTTATGAAACGTTTTTGCTTTTCTAAGCTAAATAATCTCATTCATCTTGAGTCACAGTCCCCATCTCAATCACTAAAATTTAGTGCGCAGCGACTAATCTTTTCATAACGTCTCACTGCGTACCTCAGCGACATCTCAAATGCTATTGGTTACCACATTATTGAAAATGAAGCAGATGATGATTAAAAGAAGCTCATTTAGTCCATGTACCTTCTGTTACTCGACCACTTAGAGACGATAGAATAGGAAGATTTTTGAGTCAACACTGCCACCTTTTCTCTTCTGCCATATCATTCGTCCGCTGCTGCATTATTACGTCTAATTTTTAAACGTTTTCCAGTGCTGCTAATCCTTCCCAGAAAACCTGCGCAGTCTGTCCTCTTCGTCGGTATTTCTTAAATCCGATATCAAAAAGTGAAGTAACGTTTCTTTATAAAGCTCAGGCAATTCGTATTTCTAATGGACTTCAAAGCAGGTCTTCTTTTAAGTTAATCGGCATGACTGGAATGATTGAAATCCTGCATTGAAGCATCAGAATGTGGCTGCAATGTGCATATGGCTCTTGATATTTTTCACCTTTAAACCAGCACTACAGTGTAAATGGCCTATTGTTGATGCATTGTTCGTTGTTGATAGTACAATCAACGTTGGCATATTCAATTATGAATTAATGAAACAGTTCGTAAATACTGTCATTGGGCAGATGAATATTGGAGAACGGAACACTCGCGTTGCCTACGCATCATTTACTCCAAAGCCTGTATATGAATTCAACTTCAATTCAGGAACAAACAGGGATACCATGACTCAGCAGATTGAGGTTCTTTGCAAAGATCCCTTTTTGTGATTAAGACTATTTCCAATTAACAGATGCTATCGTTTTCATGTATCATGTGGACAGAATTCAAGGATCTGAAATCTTATTAAAATATCTGTAATTTATTCATCTGGGGGCGCGTTTTAGAATCTGCGGTATATGCCATGTGTGGCTAGCGAAAATGAAGATTGCGAACCTCGAGCAAGCATCAACAGTATAGCCAGTCACGAGTTAACGCAGAGTTCTGGAGACAGGCAACCAGTTCCCGACGTTGTCATCATAATTTCGTCTGTTACTTACCGAATACCTGAATTGGCAAGTATTGATTCTTTTCAGAAACTTTTGCAAAGCCTTGATATTGAGTTTTTTCGACAGCCGCATTATTTTACAAATGATTCATTTATTTTGAACATTATTTCGAGGACACGTAGGCGTTGTAGGCGATTAGTTGCGCTGTGTTTTCTAATTTTTTCTTTGGCTTTTGAGCACTAATCTAGAATGACACGAGAAGCCGCTATAAAACGCCGATATATGAGTCGAAATCAACTAATCATACTTCATTTAGTCAGCGGTATGGTGTGGAACGACTCTTTCTGTAGCCGGAATGAAATATAAAGCGAAAATGCCAATGAGACTATATCTTTAAAAAGCAGCTTTACAATAAAACTAAAGTACAGTAAAAGAGACCAACTCAAAACATTACTCTGCAAAATGACAGGTTCAAAAGTGAAGAAGGTTACTCTAGAATTGCCCACTTGATAGTTGAATAAAATCTTACTGGGGAGGTAGCAATGTGCGAAATAATCCATCCTAACTTCTTGCAGTTGCACGGAACTTACATTCATTTCTGACTTTGGTCGTGTGATAAGGAGTCTTAACCGTTGGTTCCGATGTGAAAGCCAATGTTGAACTTCAGGAAATTTATATCAGAATCAGTTAGATCATAAATTAGTTTTTGAATGGTGCACAAAGCTTTTCTTTTTAAATGGTAAAGCAACAACAGCAGTGTCTGAATAAAAAAAACCTATGCTATAAGAAACCTGAAGGTTACTAAAATTAAAGCAGTCTATTGAAGCAGAATTTCTGGAGATTCAAGCAAACACTCGACCTTGAAACTGCCAAAGAATATTTTTTAGAGAAGTGACTAATCAGGGGCTACACGCAGTATTTATAAGGCTTTAGAAAAGCATCCTCATTTTTTGTTCTCGCTGTTTAATTTATCAGATTTGTGTTTCGTGAGTTTCACAGATCAAAGAATGACAGTGAAAAGTGAAGTCTAAATCCTTATTGATAAAATTTTCTAAATTTTCGGACAAAAAAAAATAAGAGTTTAATTTAAACACTTGGGCTTTTGAGGCAACTCTTTTATCGCTAACTATCAGGACACCACATTTTAAATAAGGAAGTATATATTGTGTTCTATAATAGTAATAATCAGCATAATATTAAAATTCCAACCTTTGCTAACAGCAGGATGACTTTAATTAAATGGTGTTACATTAGTGTTTGAGGAACTTAATAGGTAGGGCTATTCAATTACTCGAGGATCGGGCTGTTAGAGACACTTATGCCTGTTTAATAGCATGTTTTGTATATGGAAAGGCTTAACATTTTTGTCTATTAGTTCGGTAAAAATTATAAGTCACAAAAACCAAAAAATATTATAATGAGTTCTGATAATGGGGCATATTATGTATTAAAACGTAATCATTGAAAGCTATTTCCAAAGATAATTTTAGGTAGCTTTGTTTTACAACCGCATTTAAATTACGTCCAGGTTGCTCTCATAAAGCTTCTTTTCTCAGCTGTTAAAAAATTTGAAAATAACTAGAATATAGTCAATCGGTAATCGCATACAAATCTTAAATGGCTTCCCATAACGGTTTATGTCGGCTGCATAGAGAATGCTTAAAATTTGTCTTACTCTGGAAATAGCTAGCGTGTGGTTTGTGATAAAATATCTCAAAGTGTTAAAGAGATCGTTGGTAACAAAATTTAAATCCTTGATAAGAAAAATTTTAGCTATTTGCTTATTTCCTAACATGAGACAATGATGTCTACAGTTGTTACGTAGATATGAAGAAGCGACTTTTTTGTATTTCTTATTTGAAAGCTTATAAGGAAAATTGAGAGTTTTGTAAATCAAAAAATAAAATAATGATTTTCTGCAGGGATGCAATGTATCTGTTAATTGGGTAATTTAAACTCATAATTGTAGTAAAGTGCATAACTAAAATTTCATTGTTAATTTTTTGGATTATGAGCTGTAATTACGTTACTAATGTAACAGTCGTAAACTGAAAATTTTGAACTTTTTGCGTCTTGCATTCTCAGGTGATCAAAACTATTTGAAGAAAACTTTTGCAGCTACAAAATCTAGATTATTAGGAGAACTACTCGCTGTAAGTGGAATCTATTGTAATTCATCATGCATTGAGTGCTTTCAATTTTTTAGCTTAAAAAGGAGGTTTTGGTAGCCCCAATGTCGCCGATTCATGCGTTTTTTATTACTGTTGGGGAACTGGACGATTTGGAGTCGAATTCTGACAAATATACTTCTTCGGCCACGACGATCAAGTTTTCGGCCTACAATTACACAGTTCTTGACCGGTTGGCTGAACCGCTTTGTCATGCGGCAAACGACTTTGTAAAAAGTCTCCGGATTTTTCTCCAAAATTTATTTGCCAGGATATTACTAAGATTGTTTTGAAATATAGCATTTTCAAAAATTTTAGACAAAATTAATGAATGATTAAGCCTTGAATAGAATTATTGAACCATCTTTGCTTGAAATATAGCGAAAATTTTTTTGAGTTTTTCAGATTTCAGATTTAGTCATTTTTTTTCTTTAGGCGGTTGAGCAGCAAAAGAAAAGCAATGAGCTATTTTAGCCGTTGTCGTGGCTACACTGACTTGAAACATAATCAGAACACTTTCACTTGTCTTTTAGCGTTTAGCATCTTTCATAATTTTATTTTCGTTTTTTGATCACCATAGGATGGAAATGTCGCGAGTGATACCTGACTTGACCTGGTGGAACTACCTCAACTGGAATATTTCTAAATGTCTTAAAAAAGACAAAATGAGTCTTATTACTTATACTGCTGCTTGTAAGAAAGAAATTATTTACGACAGAATTTGATGTTTCTTAAATATTAACTATTTCTTTTCTGTTCATTTAGCTGTTGTGTTAATGCAAAAACTTTGGCACAGTCGAGTTAATAAGGCATTGTACGCTTGCCTTAGTTTACAACTAACGATCTTTGACTAAATGAAGTACCCATTAAAGTTATTTTCTAACGTCAGCTTCCTTGCCAAGTTTATTGTTCTGTTCGAAACAATCATTTGGCACTTGTTCTGCTACGGGAGCTCTCGTCAACTGACGGCCCCAGATATATA